CTTCACCGTTGGGCCTGCCTTAAACACCAAAGGGTCTCAACTAGGTTTGCAGAATAATGAGACAGCTGCATTACCTCCATTCTGGCCTCTGTCATGTGATAGTTTTGTGTGAATTTTCTTTCTGCTCTCTCAGGACTTTTTTTGTCTCTCATCTTCTAACTCCATTCTCCTTTTAATTCTCAGTTTGTTGAAAAGATTCATATTTAGCTAAGAACATTAAAAACTTCAAAAACAAATTTCATCTTAAACTCAACAAATTTAATTACCTGTCTTCACGGATGCCCATCTGTTCTTTTCTTGTTTTCCTATGGGATATGGCCCTTGTTTCTACTTCAGTCCAGTCCTTAATTCCATATGCATGAGGTATCCAACCATCACACACCCAGGACCATCTTGGAGAAAGGTACCCCCTACCATCTGCGTCATCAGCCTTCAGGTGCACAGTGGCCATTCCTTCAGCTGTTGTATGTGCTTTAGGGCTTTCTATTTAAAAGTGTATTCCACTATCCCCCAAATAAAGTTCCTGGACCTAAAAAAGTGATGTGCATTGGGGGCATTGACAGCCAATTTTCATTGAAAGTCTCTTCTTCCCTTGGTAATTGAGGAAGACTGGGAAGAAGGGAACAAAACTGAAACCTCATGTAACTCCTATTTTAGCAATAGATTCAGTTCAAATTTAAAAAGTTGAAGACATAGAGTAATGTTGGTGTGGTTTTCTGTGGCATGCTAAGGAGACAGCAGAAGATGGTCAGTGGTCAGTCTCCATCCAGCTGGTACCCATTGTCCATTAGTTAGGTCTTCAGAAAAGATAAAAGACAACTTTTGTGACAAAGCCCCAGGGGCTTCATTAAAACACTTTGCCGAGAAATTGGTCAACAGGGACATGACAAGTTTTTATACCACAGCTACTATTTTTTGCCTACTTTATGTAGAAATCTGAGAGATGCAACCAGCTTCAGGGGGCTGATTCTCCATCCAGGGGATAGCACTAACAGAGTTATGAGTTACGTGGTATTAGTCTGTCTGGGTCTTCATAAGAAGACAACACGGAGTGGGTGGCTTAAACAACAAATATTGATTTTCTTACAATTCTGAAGTCTGAATGTTGAAGATCAAAGTGCTGGCAGGGTTGGTTCTTGGTGCGGCTTCTTCCTGGCATGCACTGGGGCACCTTCTAATACACTGCGTCTCCACATGGCCTCTTCTCTGCGTGCACGTGAAAAATGAGAGGTCTCTGGTGTCTCTTCCTCTTCTTATAAAGACAGCACGTCTATTGCATTAGGTTCTCACACTTCTGACCACATTTAATCTTAATTGTATCATTAAAATTCCAATATAGATCCATTGAATTTAAGGTTTCAGCATACGAATTTTAAAGAGAGCACAATTCAATTGGTGACACAAACCAAGAGATGGTGAGAAGCATTAGAATATATTTTTTTAATCGCTAAGGAATAATGGGCCATGCAGGAATTTGTAGGAAAGTTCCTAGTAATTGGTGAAACCTCAATTGTAAGAGGAAAATGTGCCTTCCTCCTTTCTTTTCTGGCAGAAGAATGTGAGGAAGCAGAACCACAGATATCAAAGAAAGAGGAGCCCTGGGGACAGCTGAGGTGCTGGTGGAGGAGGGAGAGCACTGGAGATGAGGAAGCCCGCCCTCCCTGCACCGCTCCTGACCCGGCCTCCTGCCCTCTCTGTGCGGGCCCGCGGCCGCCCCTCTGCTGGCGTCCTGAGCGGCCACGCCCCGCCCCCATCCGCCTCCCTGCAGGGGAGGTTTGTGTCTGGGGCTCACACTCACACTCCCCTCACTGTGTCGCGCGCCACAGTAAATATACGGCCGTGTCCGCGGCGGTCACAGAGCTCAGCTTCAGGGAGAGCTGGTTCTTGGACGTGTCTGTTGAAATGGTGACTCGACTCTTGAGGGAGGGGTTGTATTCGGTGTTCCCACCACTACCATAGATACCCCCAATCCATTCCAGCCCCTTCCCTGGGGCCTGGCGGATCCAGCTCCAGTAACCACTGCTGATGGAGCCACCAGAGACAGCGCAGGTGAGGGACAGGGTCTCCGAAGGCTTCACCAGTCCTGGGCCCGACTCCTGCAGCTGCACCTGGGACAGGACCCCTGTGAACAGAGAGACCCACAGTGAGCCCTGGGATCAGAGACAGCCTCCCATATAGTCATATCTGCATCCCCGAGACACTCACATCTGGGAGCTGCCACCAGGAGGAGGAAGAACCACAGGTGCTTCATGTTCTTGCACAGGATGTCCGTGACTCTCAGAGAACATTTCCCATGTGAGCAGGACCCTGAATTTAAGGAACTGTGTGGTGGTTTCCTGTGGGTGCCTAAGTGAAGATTTGCATGTGGATGGTGCCTTCGTATGGAGAGGTGAAAAGGGATGAGGGAGGCCCCAGTCTTTGGGGCTCACCCTGAGAGGAGGATGCTGGCTGTGCCCTCTGAGAACTCAGGTCTCTTCCTGGGACCTCCCCTCACCAAGCCCAGATTCCTCGTCTTCCAGGTAGGGAGATGTGCTCAAGGAGCTGGTCTGGGACATGAGTGTGATCATGGATCAAGGACAGATTTTTGGAATAGGTTCAAAGCTGTTCTATGCGTGAAGATTTATATGAAACCAACCAAATATCCAGGTTATCTAAATTGTCAAATTTCCATTCAAAACATTAGCGCAGCACTAAATATATCTGTCACAGTGAATTTATACAAACCTACATCCATGCAATGTTTATTGTAATTCAGAATATCCATCATGGTTAGAGGGAATATGTGTGTCCCACAGAGTGCGTCATAAAAAAGAAAAAAAAATCGGAGACCTTCCATTTTGTGAACGTTTGAAGTTTGGGATTCTGTCTGCAATCTCAGGAGAAGGTAGTGGGATGTATCTCCAACCATCTCAATGTGTGATGCTGAGAATGTGGCCTGACCTTTATACACTTCTGTGTGAATAGATGTAGATTGGGGATCACAGTGACAATTTCACTCAAAAACTATAATAGGTCAGCACAGGAGCATAGTCTCATCATCAAGATTAGTGCAATTGCCTTTCCTGGGAACAAGAGAGGACATCTGTGAGCCCTCCCCACTGAGAGCACAAGGAACTCTGGTTCTTCCCTGACAGGTCACACTTCTGAAACATGGCTGGACAATGACACTCAAGCCCAGAGTCGTCACCCACATATTCATCATTTCAGGTACACCTGTGTCTCAAAGACTTTCTCCTTCATTGAATTGCATGAACATAGCTTAGAATTTGCGGTATTACATCTTGGGCATATGACATTAGTTTGGTGAATTATATAATAAATAATCTATCTCCATGGATGTGGGTAACAGGAGAGTCATCAGAAGTTGGGTGTGTTTTAACATCAGGACAAACCTGGACTGTCTTGTTAGGACTGAACAAGTGAGCTGAGCTGTGGGACAACAGAGGGAAAGAGACAGACCCAACATCCAGAGCCAGGTGAGCTCCTTACCTACCAGGTGGTCTCTGGACATTTTGTTTAAACAGATCCAGAAAGTCCTTCCTCACCTTCAGGAGAATTATGAACATTGAGGGAAATTGAGATAAATTTTTATTTACAGAGAATAATTCATAGGCTTGTAGACATCTATGTGGGTGTGTACAGGATTGCTAGGATACGCTCATACACAGAACAGAAGAAATAATTCTGTTTCATGGAAAGAAAACCAAAGAGCTTCTGAATTGGTAGGTATTCTTTGCCACAAATGTGTCAGGTCACTAGATCATGTTATGATGCTGGAGGTAACACTTCCCAACATTGTCCTGGAGACAAAATGCAAAAGAGTAAAGATTCAAGTGAGATTCCTTTGAAAAATATCAGTAATGAACAGACCAAAAAATATGAACCATTATGTAAAGAGTGCTAATGAAATGAAACAATAAATTCCATGTTGAGGTGACAGGGAAGTTCCATCTGACAGCTCATTTTCACCTTTATGGGTACCGAGTGCCCCCTGCAGCCCAGCTCCCACCCTCAAGTGAAGTTTCTGTCTGAGCTCTGTGAGTGAGCTGGAGTCATTGTGAGCCACTCAGAAAAGTAGTTGATTCTACTTCTTCAAATGGGAATTTAAACCATCAACTCCTCAGCTTACCCAGTCTATTTTTGTAACTGTGCGTGACCCTTAAAAATGCCCTCACCATTTCTTTCATAATGGGAGTTGACTGTGCCATGAAGGTAACAGGAAGATGGGTAAATTTACAGTGTGGGTACATAAACTGCTGAATTATCAAAGTCTGAAGCCAATCACATTGTGTCATCTTGCTTAATTAGTTGTGAATTTGTTTTCAGTTGTTTAGTTCAAGTTCCCATAACTCACTTTCTGATAAAATAGTCACATATAATAATATTGAGATATTAAAATGAAAAAAAATCACTAATTTCAAAATGAACCCAACTTCCAGGAGAGATGAAAATTCCTTTGTGGTGAAGGGTGTGAAGGGTGGAGACATGGTTGAATATTGAGGTTGTGTTCACAATTGTATTATTTTAATTAGGGAACTTCTATTTATCCCTTATATTTATTAGAAACTCCCATTGAGAACCTTGATGTAATGTAATTAATTGATGGGTCACACAAAAACAATAAAGCTGAAGGTTATTGAGCAGGAATTGGTATTACAACTTTAGCTTTCCTTTAGAACACATTCCTCTACCTGATGTGAAATTAGCCCAGGTGCACTGATGAGCGTTTTACAGTTAACCAAAGACCAGGAAATGGGCACTCGTGTGTGGAGCAGGGCATGGCTTTGGGATGCTTTGCAAACAAAGTGGCTTCTCGTGTCTTCTGGAAAACCCATCAAAATGGGCAGGGTAGCGATCATTTAGGAACACCCATCTATCCCACATTCATCGCTAATATAACAGTGGAAGTTGATGCAAAATGAGATCATATGGAAAATAAACTGCTGCACCACTGCCTCAGCTCAGCACAGCTACCTCTTCCCTCAGGGCGTCTGACTCTCTCAGGATGTGGGTTTCCACACTGTGTCTCTCGTACGGTAATGCACGGCCGTGTCCTCAGCCTTTAGGCTGCTGATCTGCAGATGCACTGTGCTGACAGAAGTGTCCATGGAGAAGACAAACCATCCTGTTTAGCCCTGGGCATACGTTGGGTTCCCAGGGTTGGTGTTCACCCATCCCATCCACTCAAGCCCTTCTCCAGGGACCTGTCTCACCCAATTCATACCATAGGTGGTAAAGCTGTAACCAGAAGCCTTGCAGAAGTCCTTCACTGAGGCCACAGGCTGCTTCACCTCAGGCCCAAACTGCACCAGTTGCACCTGGGAGTGGGCACCTGTGGAGAGGACACAGGATTGCGGGAAGTCTCACTTGACCGGCCTGGTTTCTCTGTCAGCCCTGGGACTGGGGAGCCCCTTAACTTTTGCTGCTGCCACCAAGAAGAGGCTCCTGTGGGTCGTGTCCACGGTGAGGAGCTGTGCTGTTGGTGGGGTGTGGTCCCGAGGAGGGGTGTGGCTGTTGGGTGATGCTCTCAGGGCACAGAGTTATCTGTATTAGCCTCAGTGATTGGCATATTCTTGAAGGATGCTATTGAATAGCCCAATTCCTGACCCAGTGTGAGAAAGAGCAAATACATGACACATGGATGACACGGTTGTAGAAGCTGAGGGTTCAAACCGTAATCCTGTTAGAGGCCACGTGTCCCCTAAACGTCCCTGAACTCTGTGTTGACAGAGCTTCCCCCACTGGAGAACAAGCTCCCCCAGGACACGCACCTCACTTTGAATCCACATTTGAATGAATCAGGGGCAACTTGAACCATTTCTAGACCTTAATATGTGAATGCGTTATTTTGGGAATGAGTGTGTTTGTCCTAAAATTGCACTGATTTAAAAGAAAGGAGCTCTTCCTGACCTCCAGCTGCTTACTATTAAGATAACTAGCAGAGTTTGAAATCCCCATTGTGAAAGTGGTTCTCATTACAACATCCAGTTTGATAAATGCTCACAATTGAATGGAATATTTATACAAACATCAGAAGTCCTTGTGAAATACTTATATTAGATATTTTTAAAGGAAGTCCGGGGCCCTGAGAGGAACCGCTCTCCAGCCTGCTGTGCACCTGCTCTGGGGCGGGAGCCTGTGCTGGGTTTATCCTGAGTGCCCCCTGCTACCCAGCCCCTACCCAGCAGGAGCGTTTCTGTCTGAGCTTACAGAGTATATTCCTACCAGTGTCTCTAGCCCGGTATAAAGTGGCTGTGCCCTGGCTCAGAATTCTCCTTTATTGACAAAACATGCTTCTCACACCATCATTTGAAATACTGAATTGGCCTTAGGAAACCCAGAGAACTGTACAGGGAGACCCGAAGAAAAGATCTCATGCGTCACTGGGGAGCCCTTTCCTGGAGCTCCAGAGGCACTGAATCGTTTGACATATGGTGAACCCAAAAACTCTTCAGGGATTTGGCGGGGGATTCTTATTTTCTTTAGGGTCCTGCAGTTGATTATTGCACCTGAGAATATCTGCAGGTGCAGGTGCACGTGGACAGAAGCCCAACTCAACTCTAGTATTCAAATCACACACACACACACACACACACACACACACACACTGTGGCTAATTTTAACATTAATCGGCCCACATTTTTCCTTTCTTTTCTGGTATCCATGTCAAGGAAAGCACTCCCTACACTGGCACTAAGGATGAGTATGTGTCTACTTTCTGCAAACAGAAGTAAAGAAAACAGAATACAAGTGGACACCTGGGAAGTGCATGCACATTGAATTCAGCTGGTCTCACTTTGGAATCCTGCAGACGCCCCATGAAAAGTAAATTTGAGGTCAATGAGGGTGAAATCATTTCCTTGGTGCTGAAGTTGCTGCTCTCAGAGGCTTCAAATTGCTCTATTTTCCTGAACATTTTTTATCCTATTTTCCTCCTCAGATAGAGTTTGTGCATTGCCACACTCTCATATTTAATCCATATTGACTAAACTGGTGAGATGTAATGTGCGGAACACGGAAGCATTACATGTTCATACAGATGAATCTTAATACTCTGGTGATCTTCTTTCTCTGGACTGTGCACAATACAGGAAGTCTCCAGGTGTGAAGCTGATTTTTGCTCTTTTCTCGATGGAACATCACAGGAAAATTTTTGTAAATGTGCCTCTTTTGGCTAATTGTAGCCATTTTCGTGATAAAGGCAGCCTGTAGGTATGGGTTTGTAATGGGGATGGATTATCTTTCCCCACATACATAAGGATGTAAAAACGGGTTGTCTGCCTGAAGAAGGTCTCGGTGTTTTATCAGAGATTTTGTCTCCTGGTAATACAGCCATGCAGGGATCTAGGTGGATTCTCGCCCTGAGAACCTGGAGGTTCCTGGAGGAAAGGGCGATAAGAGTATGGGGGTGGGGCCCCCAGGATCTCTCAGCCTCATGCTAGTCCAGACATGCTCTTTATGTTTATTTAGTTCAGATTTTCATATAACAAATCACACAGCCAGGCTCATTTAAATTATCCATATTCAGGCCCTATGGGACCAGCCGCTGAGTATAATAATTATACTGAACTCAGACAAATCTGGTCCTAATCCAATGTTTACCGTAGCTCAGAACACCTATAATGACTCACTTAACTTGCAGATTGTTTCTTCCCTGAAATAACGGTAAGGGTTGCTGTGGAGCCTCTGTGGGGTTGGATTTTTTTGAATCAGCCTGTCATGCAGGCTATTCTGAGTGATGTAGACCTTTACACTTCAATGGCAGTTATTCCTAGTGACATGGAAATGGCTGGCAGCCCTCAATTCAGTTAATTCCTTTGGTTCTCCTGAGTGTCTACAAGTATCTGATGAACCTCAGAACTCTTCTTCATGGATGACTCTGAAGATTGTCAATCAACTCAGCGCTACAGACAGGCAGCTAATGGAGGATTCTCAGTCCACTGCCACTGTGAGCATTTAGGTAAATTCCATGTGTGTGCTATTGTGAATAGTGCTGCAGTGAACCTACATGTTTATATTCCTTCAGGTGTCTGTAAGGCTGTGGGATTGTTGGATCAAATGAAACTTCGGTTTAGGTTATTGGAGGGATCACCACACTGCTTTCCACAATGGTTGAACTAATTTACATTCCCACCAAAAGTATATAAATGATCCCTTTTTCTTGCAACCTTAGCAGCATCTGTTATTACTTTTTTTAAGATTAGCCATTCTGACTGATGTGAGATGGTACCTCACTGTAGTTTTAATATGTATCTCTCCAATGATAGTGATATTCAGCATGTTTTTCTATGCTATTTGGCCACATGTAGGTCTTTTTGTGTCTTTCCATGTCCTTTGACCACTTTTTCTTTCTTGTATGTTTGTTTAATTCCATGTGTATTATAAATGTTAGACCTTTGTCAGACGTATAGGTGGCAAATACTTTACTTCCCATTCTAGAGGTTGCCTGTTTACTCTGTTGATAGTATATCTTGCTATGCAGAAGCTCTTTAGTTTACTTGGTCCCATTTGTCAATTTTTGATTTTGTTAAAATTGCTTCTATCATTTTCAGAACAAAGTCTTTGTCAGTTCTTATATACTAAATTGTATTGCCGAGGGTATTATCCAGAGTTTCTATAGTCTTAAGTTTTGCATTTAGATCTTTAACTCACATATTATTATTTTTTCAATTGATGCTGAAAAAGCATTTGATGAAATTCAACATCCTCTCAGGAAAAAAATAAATTAAAATGGGTATAGAAAGAACACATCTCGACATAACAAAAAGTTGTGTTCCAGAGACTTTCAGGTAGTATTATAATGAATGAGAAATAACTAAAAGTCTTTTCTCTAAGATCTGGAACGTGACAAATTTCCCACTTTAACCTCTGGTAAAGCATAAATCCTTCTGCTGCCCCCATAGCCGGCTCTTACCTGCACGCGCCACCTACTGGCCTGGTGTTCAAACTGCATGACCTAATACAAAGCCGCTACCACCAGTGTACAGCAGGTGAAAATGAGATTAGCTTCTCCATACTTCTGTGATTCCAGCTCCGCAAAAGACCACGGGCCTGCTCACATGCTCAGTATGTTACTACTAAAGCTGGAATTTGGAAAAGGCACAACACTAAAACTATTAATAACAAAATAAATCACACTGAGTAGTAGATGCCCCTCACCTGGCCATTTCCATCACGGCTGGTGCTTTTGCTTGCCAGGCTGAGTGGTTCATGTTTGTCACCCTCTCAGGAGCTCAGCAGAGAACTCAGGTCACTGTGCATTTCGTAGACCAACCCATTGCCTGAGGCAACGGAGAGCTTCTCCCTGTGCACAGATATCAAGCATGTACTCATCTGCTTCTGCCACAGTCAGCTCAAACCTGTAAGGCCACCTACTAACATGAAGGGTAAACTTAACAACCCAATATAAAATCTGCTGAAACAAATACATCCCAAATGAGAAACAGTTCCTGAGGCCTCCACTATCTAGGACCTGCAGGAGGCAGTGAGCCTGCTCACAGGCCCAGTACATTGTTTTACAACCATCGTTTCAGAAAGCCACTAAATAATGACCATCTATAGGTGAGAAACAATTACAGAGTCTTTGCCACTGAGTAAACTAAGAACCAAATAAAAAGACCCACCCAATATGCATGATATTCACATTCTAAAGGGAATGAAATTTTCATTAAAATCAAAATAAGTTCAAAAATAGTAAGAGATAGTTTAGCCAATGGAAAGCAAGCAGATAAGCAATTCTGGAAGTATGAAAAAGCAGAATTATAAGACCCTGGATATCACCTTAGCTCTCCAGCAACAGAATCTAAACAACATGATATATTTAAAATCTCAGATAAGTAATTCAAAAATATTTATTTTAAAGAAGCTCGATTAAATCCAAAAGAGATTGAGAACCAATACAAATAAATCAGAACCACTCAGGCCAGACATTGTGGCTCATGCCTGTAATCCTAGCACTTTGGGAGGCCGAGGAGGGGGGATCATGAGGTCAGAAGTTCTAGACCAGTTTGGCCGACACAGTGTAAAGCCATCTCTACTAAAAATACAAACCACTGGCTTGGTGTGGTGGTGTGTGCCCATAATCCCTGCTACTCAGGAGACTGAGGCAGAATTGCATGAACCCGGGAGGTGGAGGTTGCAGTGAGCCAAGATCACACCATTGCACTCCTGTCCAGGCGACACTGCAAGACTCTGTGTCAAAAAACAAAAAACAAAAAACAAAAATCAGAACAATTTAAGATTTACTTAAGACTTTGATTTTTAAAAAATAATCTTCAGGGAATAAAAACTTCATTGAATTATAATTAGAAAACACAGTTTAAAACTTTAACAATGGACTATACTAAACTGAAGAAAGAACATCAAACCTAACAGACAGATATTTCAAATTAACTCAGTCAGATAAAAGTGAACAAAATCATTGGGAAGTATAAGATTATGTAAAAAAATTGAAACAGTGGTTCGTGGATATTCCTGAGGGAGAAAATTAGTAAAAATTTTTAGAAGACCAAATTGATGAAATAATTGAGGAAAATATCCCTAGTCTTGCTAGAGATTTTCACATGCAGATAAAAGAAGTTCAGAAAACTCCATGACAAGACCCTGAAAAACAGACATAACCAGGATCTACAGTCCTCAGACTATCTAAAGCAAATAGGAAGAAAAACATTCTAAAATTCACAAAAAAGTGTCTAATAATTTATCTGAAATTCTATTAAACTAACAATGCACTTCTCAACATAAACTTACAAGATAGAAAAGATTGAACTCTCAGTTTCAGACTACTTAAAGAAAAAATAAAGGAAAAAAATTCTACGTCAGTAATTCATTTTGTATCCTGCTGAACCAAGCTTCATAAATTAAGGAGAAATAAAGTATTTCTAAGGTAAGAAAATGCTAAGAATATTTATTTACACTAGAGCAGAACTACAAGAAATGCTCAAGGGAGTCCTAAATATGGAAGCCATAGGTGAATACTAACCATCATAAACAACACAAAATTATAAAATTCACTCATAAAACTATTACACAATTAAGACTACAAAACCACTAGTTAATAATTAACATGACAACAGGATCCAAACCTCACATATCACCATTAAGTTTGGATATAAATAAGTTAAATTCTTCACCTAAAATATATACATTGGTAGAAAGAATAAAAAAGAGTTTTGAAATATATGCTGCTGACAAGAAACTCCTTTAATTGGTAAAAACACATAGATTCAAGATCAACAGGGTGAAAAAAGATATTTCATGGAAATAGAAACCAAAAGCAAGCAAGAGTAACTATGCTTATATCATATAAAACAAACTTTCAGTAAACACCAGTAGTTAAAGACAAAGAAAGTCATTACATAATGATAAAATGATTGATTAAAAATACCAATTCTAAATATATATGTGCTCTACACCAGAAAACCCATGTTCATAAAACAAATACTATTAGACCTAAGGAAGAACATAGATAACAACACACTTGTGATGGACTTCAATGCCCATCTGACAATCCTAGAAAAATCATTGAGAAAGAAAATCAACAAGGAAACATTAGACTTAAATTGGACTCTAGACCAAATAATCACAAAAGATATTAACAGAACATTCAATTCTGATGACTGCAGAATATACATTATTCCCATTAGCAAGGAATATTTTCTAAGATGGATTATATACTCTGCTAGAAATAAAAGTCTCAACTTTTTAAAAAATGAATTATCTTGTCAGACCACAGTAATATAAAGCTAGAAATCAAATCCTAGAAGAATACTCAAAACTACACACACACACACACACACACACACACACATACACATGAAAATTAAACATCCTGCTACTGAATGAAATTTGGGTCAAAGATAAAATTAAAAAGGATATTGTAACATGCTTTGAAATGTATAAAAATAGAGAAACAGCATACCAAAACCTTTGCAGCAAAAACCTGTGCTAAGGGGGAAGATTATAGTGTTAAATGACCTCATCAAAAAGATCCAAAGATTACAAATTAACAACCTAACATTACATATCAAAGAATTAGAAAAACCACAACAAACTAAACACACAGTAGAAGAAAACAAATAGCAAAGACAGAGCAGAACTAGATAATATTAAGAACCAAGAAATACAAAGAACCAACAAAATAAAACATTGGGCTTTTGAGATGATAAACAAAACTTACAGACCACTAGCTAGGTTAGGCAAGTAAAGTAGACAGACAATTTAAATAAGCAGAATGAGAAACAAAAAAGAAAAGACTACAACTGATGCCATAGAAATATAAATGATCAACATAGACTACTATGAACATCTCCAGGCTAACAAACTAGAAAATTTAGGGTGAACAGATAAATGTCTGAAAACATGCAATCTCCCACGATTGAAACAGGAAGAAATAAAAATCCTGAAGAGACCAACAAAAATTAGTGATATTCAAGCAGTAATTTTAAAAAGTCTCAACAAAGAAGCCCTAAAACAGATGATTTTAAACGGTGAATTCTGCCCAATATACTAAAAGATCTGCTAGCAATTCTACTGAAACTTTTTCAAAAAGTTGAGTAGAGGGTGTTTCTCCCTAACTCATTCCACAAAGCCACTAACAGCCTGATACCACATCCATGCCAGGACCCAAAAAGGAATACTACAGATCAATATCACTGATGACTATAGATGTAAAAATCCTCAACAAGACACAAGAAAATTGAATCCAATCACATATCAAAAAGATAAAATGCCACAATCTACTAAGTTTTGTTTCAGGGATGCAAGGATGGCTCAACATTCATGTACCAATAACTGTGATCCACCACATAAACAAAACGCAAAAAAAGAAACATATAATCATGTCAATAGGTCCAAAAAAAAAAAGCAATTGATGACATTCAGGATTTCTTTATGATAAAAACCCTCAACAAAATTAGAATAGAAGGAAAACATACATCAGGTGAATAGAAACCATATATGACAAACTCACATACAACATTATACTGAATAGGAATATGTTGAAAGTATTCCTCCTAAGACTCAGAACATGTCAAGGATGCCCACTTTCACCACTCTTAATATAAAACTTGAAATCCTGGCCAGAGTAGTCAGGCAGGAGAAAGAAATAAAGACACTCAAATTGGAAAAGAGAAAGTAAAATTATTTTGTGTTTGCTGATAATATGATGTTATACTTAAAAAACTAATATTCTTTAGAAATACTCCTAGAATTGATGTATTAGTTCAGCAAAGTTTTAAAATGATGGAAAAAACATACAAAAGACAGTACTATTTTTATACACACGTAACAATCAAGCAGAGAACCATAGATGCGTGGAACAGGATAGACATTCCAGAAATAAAGTCACAAGCCTGCAGCCAACTGACTGTGACCAACTAGACAAAAAGCACATCCTGGGAAAAGGTCACCTTGTTCAATAAATAGTGCGGGAAAAACTGAAAGGCTATTTGCAGAAGAATAAAACTGGACCCATGTCTCTCACTATGTGCAAAAGTTAAGCCAAAACCTATAAAAGACTTAACTGGGAGACCTGAGAGTCTGAAGGTTGTAGATGAAATCCTAGGAAATGTTTTTCTGGACATTGTCCTAGGCAAAGAATTCATGACCACGACCTTAAAAGTAAACAGAACTAAACCAAAATAGACAATTTAGGCTTCATACAAATAAGAAGCAAAGCATGTGCTCAGCAAAATAAAAAATGAACAAAGTTAACAGAAAACCTACAGAATGACGAAAAATATTTGTAAACACTGCGTCTGACAAAGAGCGAATATTTGGAATGTGCAAGAAACAAAAACAACACAAGAAAACACAAATAACCTCATTTTAAAGTGAGCAAGTAACAGACATTTATTTTTCAAAACAGGACATAAAAATCATCCACCAGCATATGAAAAAATAATCAATGACATTAATCATCACAGAAGTGCAATTTAAAGTCACAATGAGAAACCATATTAAACCAGTCAGACTAGCTATTATTAAAAAGTTAAAAATAAAAACTAAACTGAACAAAAAACAGATGTTGGTGAGGATACAGAGAAACAGTAGTGCATATACACTGTTGGAGAAAATGTAAAGTAGTACAAGCTATATGGAAAACAGTATGGAAATTTCTCAAAGAACTAATAATAGAACTAATATTTGATTCTGCAACCCCACTACTTGGTATCGGCTCAAAGGAAAGTAAATTTTATATTAGACAGATGTCTGCATTTATGTTTATTGTTGCGTTATTCACAGTAGCACATATATGGTGCCAAACTTAGTGTCTATTAATGAATGATTAGATAAAGAAAACATGCTGTACATGTATATGTGCATATATATAGACACACATATACACCCTCGCAAATACACTATATATATTTGTGAATATATATGTACACACATTTAATTACTACTCAATAATAAAAAATGAAATTATGTATTTTGCAGTAGCATGGATGAAACTTTAGACCACCATCTTAAGTTAAATAACTCAGAAGAGTAAAGTTGAATACCACATGTTCTCACTTACGTAAGTAAGAACTAAATAATATGTACACATGAATACACAGTGTGGAATAATAAATATTGGAGACTTGGAAGGTCTGGAGGGTGGGAGCGGTGTGTGGGATGAGAAAATACTTAATGAGTACAACATACACCATCCAGGTGATGACTCCCCTTAAAGCTCTGACTTCATCACTGAACAATAAATCCATCTAACAAAATTGCACTTTCTCCCATGAATTTATACAAATACAAAGATAAGTGTATGCATATTCCAAGTTATCATTAATCCATATTAGAATGTCTTACATATACAACATTACAACTTCTTTATTTGGAGTGTTCTATTTTTTTTTTCACTTACAAGAGAAAGGCAATCTCAATTCTCGGGTAAACACACTTTGGAGAAGTTGTTGTGCGGTAGAGGAGGGCAGCTGTCCCATCAGCAATAAGAGGCTTTGTGTTTGGGTCATGTTCAACCATCTACTGTTGTTCTATAGTAATCTCTGGGCACAACATTGACCCCTGCATTCTCCTCCATTCTAAGGCACTCAAAGCAAAGTCCACTTTTACATTAATCATTGTCCAAGTCCAGATTAACAAAAAATATTAAGCTAAAGATAAAGCTCAAAAGCAGAGCCGCTTGTCACTATCCTCCCTCATTTCAGTTGTTTTATGGTTCACCCTCCCCACGTCACCACCTGAGCCACCTTCTGGGTAGATAGAGTTTGTGAAGCTTCGGTCTGTCATCCCAGCATAATTGCCCCCTTAGGTAGTGCACTTGAGCCCATCAGCCAGAAATGAGATTAGCCAAAATCTGAGGTCGGCGCAATGCCACTTCCCTGCAATCACTCTCCCAGATGTTCACTTAATTCTCACAAATAATAATTGCATATTTAGGCTGATTCTTCTCATTTTATGTTTCCTTATGTATTGACTGAGCCAGCTCTATGGGAGTATGAGTTATCATTTCTAAACTGCATTTACCTCCAGACATCTACTTCAGTTCAGCTGCTGTCTCAGACCAGGTAATTCTGTTTCCACCCAGGTATCAGATTTTGTCACTTCACACCTGAATATTTATGTTTCCAAACAACGCTTCAGCCACGTGTCATTGATTCAGGGTCTCTCTAGGAAATCCTTCTTCTGATACAACTGCATTGAGAGGTTGCATCTGCCACCCTCACGCTCAAAACTCAGTAAAAATACAGGACTCATGAGAACTGTCATATTCACAGGAACAGTTTATTACAGCAAAATGATACAATTGAAAATACATGAAAAAAAGGCACAAGGAGTGAAGCCCTGGAGAATCCAGGCACAAGCTCTCAGGGGTCCTCCCACAGGGGAGCCTCCTGCACATGTGTAATTATCCAGCTGTGCTGTAAGATGACATGTGTGAAGTGTTGACACCCAGGGGAGTGCCCCGAGCTTTCTTGTCCAGGGCTGTGTTTTGGGAATGAATCATAGACTATGGAACATCTGGGTAACTGACCACAATACTCAGACAACAGCCCTCCCCAGCAAAACAACAGCAGGCACTCACTATAAATCCCTGTGATTAAACTCGTACTGCATGTCCCAAGGCTGCAGACATCCACAGACACTGTTATCAGGTGGAATATTTTATGGACTTGGACACCTCATCCCAGGAGGTAACAGAGAGCCATAAATGAAGAAAAGTTTTCTTTTAAATTTTTTAGTTATTTACTTTTTTAGGAACGCGCAGGGTTTGACCAATTCAGGCCTGCTGCCCTAGACATGCCTAGACAGAAGACACAATTGGTGTCACCAAGAAATCCTACACACTGGAGTGTCCACGATCAGCTCCCCCAAAGTCACAGGTGAGGAAGGTGACACAGGCAGTCTCGGTAGATCCAGATCACAGATCTAGACAGGGTTCCTGGGGAAACTGCTAGATGGAGAAACAACTAAGTCTCTGAAAGGAAACCAGCCCTTAACCTTCCTGAGTAACTTCCCCAGAACGAACCCTGTGCTCAGTGGGTCTTGAGTGCCCTCTGCAGCCCAGGCCCCTCCTGTCTTCCTGCAGGGGGGTTTGTGTCTGGGCTCTCACTGACTTCCCCTCACCGTGTCTTTCGCACAGTAATACACGGCCGTGTCCTCAGCTCTCAGGCTGTTCATTTGCAGAGACAGGGAGTTCTTGGCGTTGTCTCTGGAGATGGTCAATCGGCCCTTCACGGAGTCTGCATAGCCTGTGCTACCACCATTCCAGTTAATACCAGAGACCCACTCCAGACCCTTCCCTGGAGCTTGGCGGACCCAGCCCATGGCATAATCATCAAAGGTGAATCCAGAGGCTGCACACGAGAGTCTCAGGGACCCCCCAGGCTGTACCACGCCTCCCCCAGACTCCACCAGCTGCACTTCACACTGGACACCTGCAAACAGAGATACACCCTGGTCAGAAACTGCCACACAGATCCACTGTTCCTCTCACTCATGTTCATTCACACTTAACATCTCTATTTCTCCATGAATCACCTTTTAAAATGGCAACAAGGAAAACCCAGCTCAGTCCAAACTCCATGGTGAGTTCTCTGTGTTCAGTGCTGATCACCGAATGGAAACACCTGGGAATCTCAGGGCTGGGGCTCCTCTCCCAGGGCTGCAGGGTCAGGGCTAGGTTAGTTTTCATATAAGCAGAGGGAGGACCCTATTTGCATGTCTCCTACTATATAATGAGTTCTGTAAGGCATGCATCAGAGTGGGCTGTGTCCAAGAGTGGATGTGGGTGATTATACTTCATAAGTAATTAATTCTCATTAGCCGTCATACTTTTACATGCACATGAAATACGTTCTTTGGGAGTCAATGTTTCCTTCATTTACAGATGTGAATGTAAACCCCCAAGTATGGAGGGGCCATGTGACATGTCTAAGAGCTCACATCTGGTAAGAGCCAGTCTCAGTGTCTGGCCTACATTTCTCACAATTGGATCCAACTGTTCCCTAAATAAACTCTAGGAAAGAGCTAGAAATTCCAAGTGAGGTTTACGAAACAATCTTCTTAAAATGATACTGTGATATTATTTGGCTGTATCTTGGTGTCCTTCTAAGTAATATAGAAAAACTGAGGGTTAATTCATGTGAGTATTCAGGAGTTCATGACTTTTTTTGTATTATTTCTCTCCTCATCTTCTACCACATTAGACTTTTATTTTTAATAGTTTTAATGAGGGAATACTGACATAATCTTCACATAGTATGTTCACCATTTGACAGACATTGACCTAATCACCATTCACAGAGAAAACAAATCAATTCGCCTCTCAATTTTCTCTTTGTCTCCCGCAATTTCTCCTTCCTATACCTTCGCTTCTCTTACCATGGAGAAGTCAGTTAGGGATCTTTGTTATGTAGCTTCCAATGAGTATTCACTTTGTACAGTTTATAAAACGGAATCATATGTATGTGTTTGGCTCATTATACTCATCGCATGTACTTGTGAATTGAACCACGCTGTTGATCGGATCCAACATTAGCTGACTGTAGTAGTGGGTACTATTCCAATAAACGACTTTTCCACAATTTGTTTACTGATAAAGGTGCTGATTAGTATTTGGATTGGTTTCAGTTTCTGTGTATTTGAAAGAAAGCTGCTGCTCAGCTTGGAGGAGTACACAGCAGAGAAACATGTTCTAGATCTGACAACATGAACAACAGCTAAACTGGTCAAGTTGCAAATGAATCAATATTTTTTAATACTTCAGGCAACTAACTTTACGGCACCCCGTGTCTATGTCAGTATGTGAGACAGAAAGAAAGAGGGAGGAAAGGACACTGAAAATAAAGTGATTCTACGTAAGTATTAATTTGTGAGGTCCTCCAATGCATGGAACTTATTCCTAATGAACAGAGTCCACATAGGTTGAAGAGGGTAACTTGATGCACCCACATATGGCTATAGATTCATAATATAAATGTTATTCTCTAAACACATAAACACTCATACACATTAGAATAGATGTAGTGTCTAGTCGTGGAATGAGAAGGTGACACTAAAACCCGTCTTCAGGCCTTTCCCTGCCTGTTACACCTGCTCTGAGGCTGACCCTTGAGCCTGCCTGACCACTGAGCCCCACAGTGGTCCTGAGACCTCATGCAGTGCCATGTGCCCCCTGGGTTTCCCTGCTGGTTCCTGGGTGCCGGCTTCTGTCCTCAGCACCCTCTGCTGTCCTATAAACCCCCACAGGAAGGTTTGTGTGTGGGCTCACACTGATGTCTCCTCATTGTGTCTTTTGCTTAAAAATACTTGTTTGTGGCTGGGCACAGTGGCTCACACCTGAAATCCCAGCACTTTTGGAGGCCAAGGCAGGTGGATCACAAGGTCAGGAGTTCAAGACCAGCCTGGCCAGCATAGTGAAAACCCATCTCTACCAAAAATACAAAAATTAGCCAAGTGTGGTGATGGGTGCCTGCAGTCCCAGCTTCTTGGAGGCTGAGGCTGGATAATCGCTTGAACCCATGATGTGGAGGTTGTATTGAGCCAAGATTGTCCCACTGCACTCCAGCCTGGGTGATACAGCAAGACTCTCTCTGAAAAACAAACAAACAAACATGGTTGTGTGCTTGTTGCTCCCGTAGCTCAGCCATAGGAAGACCTGTTTTTGAACATAGATCTGGAGGTGGTGACTGGACTCTCGAGGAGTGGGTTGGAATTTGTTCTCCCTTCATGACCTGTGCACCTGACCCACTCCAGTCCCTTCCCTGGGGGCTGATGGATCCAGCCCCAGGAGGAAGTCTTGGTTCTGTTGGGGAATCCAGCGTTTAAACCGAGATGTTATTGTTGTTGATTCACTAAACAAAATGTGGCACTCATTTTTATTGTGTTAAGATACACATAACAAAAAATTTACCATTTTAGCCCTCGGTATGTGTATAGTCAGTGATACTTTACATATTCGCAATGCTGTGCAAGTATCACCACTATTTGGTTTTGGAACACTTTCCTCACCAAAAAGGAAACCTCACCTCCATTAAGTGGTCACTCTCTGTTTCCCCTCCACTCACTTCCTGAGAGCTGTATCTTGGAGTTTTCCTGCTCTCCGTACTTCATATCAATGAGACAATTTGGGATGCGGACTTCTGTGTCTACCTCAGTTCACTCAGTCAATGTTTTCAACGCTCATCCAAGTTGCAACCTATGTCAGTGCTTCACTCCTCTTTAAAGCTGGGTTACAGCCACACAGACACACCACAGCATCGTCACCCGTGTGGGTTACAGACACACAGACACACCACAGCGTCTTCATCTCTGTGGGTTACAGACACACGGACACACCGCAGCGTCTTCATCCCTGTGGCAGTCGATGGGCACTTGAGCTGTATTCTCCATTTAACTACTGTGAGTGGTGACACTAGGTACATTTTTGTATGAGGTTTTCCGTGAAGACCATTTTCCAAAGTTGCTGTCCGATTTCAATATCAACCAGCAACCATGACCATTCCAAATTCAATGTGTCTTTGCCTACAAGTGATTATGTTTGTGTATTCATTTTTGAATACTGGTTACCTTAGTGTGTGTAACGTGGTAATCTGTAAGGAACTTAAATCATCAGTATAAACTAGATAACCCTATTAAAAATGGGGAAAGGACATGCACAGAATCTTCTCAAACACAGACATACAAGTGAATAAGTAACATATAAAAATGCACAGCATCATCAATCATCAGATAGGTGCAAATCAAAACCAAAGGAGATACTATCTGACACCTGTCAGAATTACTATCACTAAAAGATCAGAAATTAACAGATGCAGGCAAAGCTATAGAGAAAAGGGAACACTTACATACTTTTGGTGAAAATGTAACTTGCTCCAAGCACTGTGGCAATCAGTCTGGAGATTTCATGAATAAATTAAAGCGGAGCTACCATTCCCCTCAGCAATCTCATTACTGGGTATATGCCCAAGAGAAAACAAATTATTGTAACAAAAAGACACATCCACTCATGTGTGTTTCACTGCACAGTTCACAGTACCACAGACATGGGATCAACCTATATGCCCATCGGTTATAGACTGGATAAAAAACATGGTACCTATACACAGTGCAATACTATGCAGCTGTAGAAAAGAATGAAATCTTGTTTTTGCAGCAAATTGGGTGGAGCTAGAGATCAAAATTCTAAGCAAACTGACATAGCAACAGATGATAAGAGTCAATGGGAGGGGAAATGGACATTTTGGGTGTTGCTCTGTGTAAAATGGAGAAAACAAATCCCCTGGGTACATGAACTCTTGGAATAGACAAGCCTGGAGACACTCATGTCCTGACTTTCGTATCATTAGGTTGTGCTTTTTCTCATTCATAGTCAGTTATCATTGCTTTCCTTCACTCTTGTCTAAAATAGTCACACATTATAATCTAGAGACATTAAAATAAAAATAACATATTTGAACATTAGAACAAGTGGTAACTTTTAGGTCAAAGTTAGCCTGGATTCAGTGTGATAGCCAGGAGACATGGCTGAATACTAGCAGCGTGCTCACAGTAATTCTGTGTAAATTAGGAAAACATGTTTACATCTTTTAGATCAGATTCCCATTGAAATCCTTGATCTAATATCATCTCTGATAAATCATATGTCAGTAACAAAACTGGAGGTTATGCACTCAATTGAGTAGCACAAACTTTCATTCAGAATTTGTTCCTCTATGTGATATAAAGTCAGCATGGATGGCGAAAGTTATTGCAGTCAACAGAGCTTGTCAATAAACCAAACACAAGGATTAAATTCAAGTTCTAGAGGAGTGCCTGTGTTCAGCACGCTCTTCACACAAAGAAATTTCTCACATCTTCTGGAACATGTAAAAATGCACAACAAAATAACAAATTTTAGACGCACTCCTACATTTTAGAGACCTGACTAATATAACTTAGAAAGCAAAACCTAAAGGAAAATGAAATGGCCTAATAACTAAAAGTAAACATATTATAGTGGATCATCACCCCAAACAGTCTCATACTTGTTTAATGTTATCTGAACATGGAAGGCATTGGCATTACTCATAGAACACAGCATCTGTCCCATCCACAACCTTCTGAAAATGTGGACGAAAATTGTCACCCTTAAACTAAAACTGTCAAAACCTTAAGAAAATCTTGAATTTCATTGGCCAAAGTTTCTCTCCCTAGCAGTAAAGCATTATAGTCAACTCCCTCAGGGAGACATCAGTTATTAGCCTATGATTTGACATCAGTTAGTCACGTATGATTTGGTAGCTAGAAGGCCCATACATTTAGAGATTTACCTCCAGTGCTCACCTCTGTCCTACTTCACGCATGTCTGACAAAGTATTGAAAGTGGTGACTGTATTTTACCCACTCAATTCATCAGTAGATTAAAGCTACCAATTTTCTGCATCTTTTCAAAAGCCCCCAATGACATTAAACCAGGAAATTGTATCTACTGAAAGAAACATCCAGGTAGAATATTGCTCTTGATCCACTTTGGAAGGAGTCTTACCGGGTACTTTTAACCACAACACAGCAGTGAAATAGAAGAATGTCAATACTTGAGTTCATATTTATAAACTTTAATCTAAAAATAAAACCCTAAGCCCTGCAACTGACTAAATGTTCCATCTGCTGGCCTAGGGGACCACTGAAAGAATCTAAAAACTGAGTTCCCAGCCACAACAAAACAAGAGATCAGACGCCCCTCTTATACTCACTCTTCTTTGCGGTTTAGACACAACAATGACTAACACTAATGTAAAAATGTAAGTCATACGACTGACAGACCAGACTTCCTGTGGCAATAAGATGTCAAATTATAAACAAGACCTAAAGCCATGTCAGGCAAAGGTTTTGCCACTCACTCCTACACTGAAAAGATAAACCATGTTCTAACTGCCAATAGGTGATTCTTTTTCTCTAGTGGCTCAGTAAGCACGGGCACTGAGACAAGCACTGTGAGGACAATTGTAGCCCATCCCCTGATGAACTGACCCCTGCTCCATAAACCGTAACCCCAGCTTTGGTTGAACCCTAGACTCATATCAGGAACTATCTCCTGATCAGAGACCACTGACCATGGCCTGGCTCTGGCCGTTTACAGAGGCTGCACACTGAGTGCCTTGTGTCTCTGCTTCTGCTTTTGGCACATAGGGCCTAACTGTAATGAATTTAAATGCTAAGTCTTCACTGGTAAGTAAATAGGGGTCATAAGTTACATGCGTGTGTGTCCAGTATACATATGTCAGGACCACCTCCATGAATATCCATAGCCCCTCCTGTAACCTGTCGATTGTGTCTGTTTAGCCAAACCCTTCAGCATAAAGCTTCTGCCCAACCCCTTCTTCGTGGGAGTGCCTTTCTCTCGTCTTTACCAAAAGCTATGCTTTCCAGCATACGGGATGGCTGTAACCCTTGATAAAAAATAAACTCTCACTTTCCTAAATTGTAGATAGTGTTTTGTTTTTAACACAACTGAAGACTAAATTCACAATTTCATCTAATTATCAGGCTAATTTAGTGAAGAACAACAAACCGAGCATTTTTGCATATACTGTAAGGGCCTGTGATATTTTGAAGCAGGAAGCTGACCTGAGACCTTCAGAATAAACTGATGACTGTGGATAATGAAAAGGCCCCACACAGGGCATTGATTCAGCACCTTTACCTGTCTCATTCCTTCTTCTCTTTCTTTTTATTATGTCCTCACAGTAATAAAAAATCTTTTTTTTAGACCTGTTTGCTTTTCACACATAGTGGACGCTTATCTCTCTTTTTAACTCATTTTCTAAAGCTGCTGGGGAGAATAAAGTGTCAGGTCTTATTTTTGGTGCCAGGTTGCTGATGAGTTAAGGTTTATCTTCCTCCTCCTTATCTCCTGCATGTGGTAAATCTAGTAAGAAATCACGGAAGCCCCTCATCTGATGCCAGTGTGAGGTTTAAGTCACACAAGCTCCCTCTCATGAGTAGAAACCCCCGCCCCGACCCCAGCACCAAATCATTGTGAAGCCCTGAGCCAGCCTCCTTTCCTGCTCTACTGAGGAAATTCCAGTTTGTAATTTCTTCAGAGACCTGTACTGCTCTCAGCAGCCACCTCAAAAATAGAGTTAATAAATATTTTCATAATCACCTGGGGTGTGAGTGTGGAAGCATCAGACTCGACATCCACACTAAACATTGGTGGGGTCTCTCTTCCTTTGTCCAGCGATCACCTACAATTGGAACTGTGGGCTTGGAGTCCTGACAGTGACCACACGTGGCCTTTCTTCTCTTGCACTGGATGCTAACTCCCTCTGCCCCAGTGCCCAGCGTGCACATTATCCAGCCTGCTCGCTGGCCCTTTGAGTTCTGTTGAGCTGGGCTGCAATGCTGAATTAAACACAGCATATTTTACAGATTTAGCTGATTAACTTCAGAAGCATTGAAAGGTTAGTGACGTTGAGAAACAGGCGTCAGTGACTGTAGGTGACTCTGTCTTTGGTGCATGTGAGAAAGTTTTTCTCTTGTTACGACAAATGTTTCCTCTTCAGAGACTTCCCAGGAAGAACGGGATGAGGAATCCAGAGAAGTGCCCCAGAGGAAACTGTTTTATGGAGAGGAAGCCACAGTGCTGACAGGAAACCAGACCTTAACCCCCATCTGCACCTGCCCTGAGGCTGGCTCTGGTGCTCAGTGGGTCCTGAGCGCCCCCAGGTGGTCGTGTTCCCCCTTCAGGGAGGCTCGTTTCTGGGCACACACAGACTTTTTTCCTAACTGTTTTCACAAAAATGGAGACAGTGTAAACGGTGAATCCGTGCATCTCAGAGAACACAGAACAGCAGGAGACCCCCTTCATCCCAACACACACATTTAGGTAAATCTTATTAAAACTGCTGAAAACCAAAGACAAATAGAAATACGTGCAGGCAAGTGGAGGTGAGTAGAGGGGGGATTCCTTCCAAAAGAACAGAAAAGATGATGACAGCTTTCTTCTGGTTAAAACCTTATAAGCACGAGGAAAAGTGATGGTGTCAGTGAAGTGTTGGAAGAAAAGCCAACCCATTATTTTATAACCCATGGGTGTTCTCTAAAAAGTGAAAAAAAAAACAAGTTCTATTTCTTATTGGCAGCTTGAAAGACTCAATGAATCCATGGCCTCAGGAGACCAGTGAAAATTATTTTGAAAAATCACAGGGTTTGGAAAGGCTCTGACAGCATACAGCAAGTGAAGAAACATTTATTCAGGAAAACCTAGAAAACTCAGTAAGGCTGATCATCGTATTTGATCTAAGATGCTCCTCCTTCCACATCCCAGCTCAGCATGATGGAAACTCCACTGCAGAAGATGCAGCCAAGAAGACAGGACACCTTCTACCACCTCCCACTAGAGGCAACTCTTCCCCAGGGGCCAGGACATTGGCCCTCTGACCCTGCCCACAGCACGTGATGCTGAGGCTTATTGCTGGACAAGAACTACTGAGAGCCGGAAACTCACTTCTTCCACGGAGCCCCATTCAAGGATGAAGGCTCTGCCGTGGGTCCAGTGACACTGGGAACATCGGGTCCCTGGTTTCTAGCTCTGTCCTACAGCAGAGGTTCCATCCCACAAGAACCAAAGTACTGGGAACATGGGAAGCTTCTGCCCAACCCTCCACTTAGCGCTCATCTCCTACACTGAGGAAGAAAAAGCTCAACTTTGCCTCCACCTGCAGAAACTTGGTTGTGCGCTCTGTCCCAGAAGAGAGGGAGTGCTGGAATTCAGTCATAACATATGATCCTTAATTTGGTCCCAAACGTCCTAACTTCAGTAACAACAGAATGTGGAAAAGTCCAAAGCCTGCCAGTGCTCTCAAAAACAGTGGAGGGTGTGGTGGAAGGCCCTTGGAACGAGATGGGTGGATGCACGGGAGATGCAGACTAAACTGCAGGGCTGCTGGCTTGCAGGAGAGAACCGAGGAGGGGGAGAACTGGGGGATGTTCTCTTGTGGTTGGAACAAATACTGGACACTGTTCCAAGGAGCCAGTGTTTGTTTGCTTCAGTCTGTGAAGCAATTCAAACCTCAGTGCATGGTTGAAGATAGATTTTTCCATCTGCATGTGGCGGAGTTCAACATCTGGGCCTGGTCAGGAAAGAGGCAGAGAAAGCCCAGCCCAAACCACTGACACCTGAGGATGACCGTGGTGCTGACAGCTGTGTCCCTTTGATCTTTGAGACTGATTTCTCTCACTTAGCCTCATATCTGGGGTTCACCAGTAATGGTTTATGTTTCGGTCACTTGTTATTTTTTTATTGCTGATGGTGTTCAATTGATAGATGCTTCCTAGTTACTTCACCTATTCAAATTTTGAGACATTTATATTATTTTTAGTTTCTGACACACACACCCACACGCAATATCTTGAATATTTTAATAGAAGTTATGTGTGAATGTAAGATTGTGTTTCTCTAAAGCAAATATTCAGGAGTGGGATCTTAGGGTCAGGTGTTAAGCGCATGTTTGATTTTGGAGAAAACTAAAACTTATTTTCCTGAGCATCTGTTTCATTTTGTATTCCTGTTAGCAATGATTTAAACTCTAGTAACCTGGCATGCTCACTGGCATTGGTGTTATCTGTATTTCCTCTTCATTTCAGTCATTTAAAAAAGTGTGTACTGGTGTCTCATTGTGGACTTGGTTTGAATTTCTCTAATGGAAAATCCTGTTGAGAGCCTGGTTATGTGCTTCTGTGTCATCTGCACATCGTCTTTGATGAAATGTCTGTACAAACCCTTGTCTAATTTATCCATCGGTTGTTTCCTTTTTATTCACACTTGAGTTCTGAGGGTTCTTATTATAATTACATTGGTGGTTATATGCCTTGCAAACAGTTTCTCATCTGTAACCTGGCATTCATTTTCTTATAGTCACTTCAGTAGAAAAAGTTTTTAAATTTAATGAGGTCAACTAACATCAATTTCATTTATTGATCATATTTTACATTTCAATTTTAAGATCATTGGACAACTCTTAATTATTGTTTATTGTGCCCATTATATAATGTCTCATCATCTCCCACCTTGTGCCCTCCCATCGTTCTAAGTCTCCAATGTCTATAATTTCTCTCTACATGTCCTTGTGTACACACTGTTTACCTCGCACTTGTAAGTAATAATGTGTGACACGTGACATTCTGTTTGTGAGGTAAATCACTAATTATATTGTCCCTCAATTCTATGCATCTTCCTGCAAAACACACAGTTTCTTTCCTTATTGTGGCTGGCTAGTATTGAATTGTGCATACAAGCTATATTCTTTTATAAAATCATCCGTTGGCGGACACTCTGTTTGACACATGTGCTATTGAGAATAGTTTTATGATAAGCATAGAAGTGTGGGTATCTTTTTGAAATAATGGTTTCTTTTCCTTTGGGTAGTTGCCCAGCAGTGGGATTGTTGGACCAAATGGCAGGTCTATTTCTAGTTTTCTGGGAAATCTCCACACCGTTCTCCACAGAGGTTGTACTCGTCCACACCCTCATCAACAGTGTCTAACAGTTTCCTTTATTTCCCATCCTCACCAACATCTGATATTTTTGAGTTTTTAGTAATAGTCATTGCAACTGGTGGAAGATGATATCTTATTGTGGTTTTAATTTGCATTTCCCTGATGGTCAGTGATGTTGAGCCTTGTTTATATATTTATTATCCATTTCTATGTGTTCTTTTGAAAACGTCTACTCATGTCCTTTGCTGATTTTAGTGGGTTTATTTGGTGCTTGTTGCTGTTGTTGTTGTAGATTTGTTTGAGTTCCTTGCAAATTCTTCATATTCGTTCCCTGTCACAGGCAAAGTGTACAAAAGTTTTCTGCCATTCTGCAAACTGACTATTCACTCTGTTGTTTTGAAAAAGAATTCTTTATGTTAATTAAGTCTCATCTGTCTATATTTTTTTTAGGTAACAGGACCTTTTTCGTGCTGAATCTTTGCCAAACAGGAAACAGCTTCTGCTTGCATGAGCCACTAGCAGGGGACATGCCATTCATTAGTAAAGAAGAGGGAGGAAGACAAGGGTCTGAGTCAGGTGGGGATAAGAAACCCAGACGCTGTCAGGAAAAGGCATCTCAGCTACACTTTCCTGTTCTGCATTGGTGGGGAGGGAGCATCACTGAGAAGCAGCCTGGGTTCTTGTACAGGAGGCGCCCTGGGCTGTGTCTCTGTGGTACCCGTGCACAGTAATATGTGGCTGTGTCCACAGGGTCCATGTTGGTCATTGTTAGAACCACCTGGTTTTTGGAGGTGTCCTTGGAGATGGTGAGCCTGCTCTTCAGCGATGTGCTGTAGTATTTACTATCATTCCAATAAATGCTTGCAAGCCATTCCAGGGCCTTCCCTGGGGGCTGATGGATCCAGCCCACACCTGTTCCAGAAGTGCTGATTGAGAACCCAGACAAGGTGCAGGTCAGCGTGAGGGTCTGTGTGGGTTTCACGAGCGCAGGACCAGACTCCTTCAAGGTGACCTGGGACAAGACCCCTGTGGAGAAAGCATAAGAAGATGAAGCCCACAAAGAAAAGAGCAGATGTTTCCCTTCTGAAGTCGTCCCTGACCACAGCACTCACAGGACGGGATGGTCAGTAGCAGGAGCGTGGAGCAAAGCGTGTCCATGGTGGGGCACAGGATTCACTGAGCTGGGCCCCGTGCTCGGCTTTTCAACCCACAGGAGGGTGGAGCTGGTGGAGATTTGCATCCCCTCATCTGAGCCCTACTCTATGGGGTGCACTCAGGTCTCAGGACTCAGTAGGGGAGTGCATCTGTGGTGAGGAGTAGTGAGGAGCAGTGAGCCCTCAGATGTGGGTGTCCACATGTGCTCTCCATTGGGGACACCGTCTCATTTCAGGACCATGGTTCTCAGTCAAGGCTGTGACACTCCTGCTTCTACAGACAGGATCTTCTTGGATGTTCATGCAGGGGACATGCAACCTTCTGGTTTTAGTTCTAGAGGATTAGAGTAGAAATCAAGAGAGCTGCCGTTCTTCCTCCCTTCAAGAGAAATGATGGTGGGCATCTGGTAGAGCAGGGGGCTCCCCACAAGCATTCTGATCAAAATCCTCTTTGATTAGGGGGAAAGTGATGATTTAAAAAAAAAAGCTGAAGAGAATAAATAATAAACATTTGTAAATAATTATGTAAAGATGTGAGTGTGCAGCTGTCAATCATCATTCATGATCACCACTGAAGAGAAAGTGTTAAAGTGAGAAGATGGAATCCCTGTGACAACATTTGTGAATCCCTAGATCCAGGCCACTAGAGACAGGGGATGAGCTGCTCCTCATGAGTGTGGGAATGACCACATTTCCATGTCTCCTCCCTGTGGACATAAGTTTGCTACTCAACAGTTGTAATCCCCCCTCCGCCTGTGGATTTCAGGGAGGGCAGGTCAAGGAATTTCTGGGACTGGATGCTCAGAGTTAATCTGCAAACTACACTTTCTTGTTCCCTGATGAGGGCCCTTTTCAGGTGTCTTCATATAATGAATGTTTGTTAACAAAATAACCCAGTAAATACATGAAAACAAACTTTCTCAGAGGAGTCATATGTCTGCCTGTAGTCTCTGCATGTAGAACTATAAACCACTGCTTTTAACAAGAAGGCAAAGGCTTCAGTTAGAATTAAAAATAAAATGCAGACCTACCCGTTGTTAGGGCTGGAGTTCATACTGCTTGTATTCTGAGCTAATTTTGCCACACAGCAGTTCAGCATCAGACATACATGCTTATGTGAAGGAGTCGTTGTGGGGACATTTGTGGTTTTCTGAGGGAAGAGTCCACAAAGCAATGCATGTGCTTGTCTGAGGGAGGAGCACACGCAGGGACAGATGTGTGCACATATCTGAAAGTAATTGCCCATTTAGGGACAGCGTGAGCTAGTCTGAACTGGAGTTTGGGGAAAACTTTTCTCAGTTAAGGGAAGATGAGAAACCTCTGGGTGACCTGCTTGTCAGGAAGGAAACTGACTCACATGGGAGCCTGCTGAAAGAAAGGTATCTCGTGAAGGGAAACAACTTATATGCAAATGGGGAAAGTTACCTTATTCTTTATTGCCTGCATCTCAAGCCATCGCTGCCCACACTGAGTAAAGTTGCCAGAGACTTCTATACAGTCTGCATTTCATTTTGGAGTTCATGACAAGCTACATACTTTTTTAAAGTTGTATATATTTAGGTTCACACTTGGTGTCATTAAATTCTAAGTGTTGACAAATTAAGTGTGTCATGTGTCCAACATTGCATATGATTTAAAATAAGTATCATCACCTTAATCAGTGCTCAATTCACTTACATGATACCCTCTTTCTAAATTCCTGGAAAATCTTCATATGCTTACTTTGTCTATAAGTTGGTTTTATGAAATTTTAAATAAAATTATTTAGTGTATTTGAAATAACTACACTTTGAAAGGTGACACACACAATCTCTCACCTAAATAACGTTGGTAATTAGGGGATTCTGTAAGACTAAACTGTAATGAAACTGCGTAGAAGCACCGTGCTTTAGTAGATAAACATGCTTCCAAACAAGTACAGCTTAAATCTGATCCTGCAGCGCATGTGACCTGAAATTGTGCAACAAAATAATTCAATGACATGTGATGGAGTGGAATTCATCATATTGAGTGGATGGTTATGAGCAGGCAAGGAAGAAAAGTTAAAAGTCTATATGTGGTATGACAGTAAGGTAAGTATATTGGTGTGTTCTCATGTTTAATGCAATATAGGTACAGAAGATTAGATATATAAATAGTTTCCATGTGCCTGTAAACGTGGGTTAATATTCAAATGCTACTGTTAGCTTAGAGTCCCTAGAATCCCTGACACCACATTAACAGTACACACACCCAACATCATAATTTTGTACTTTAATACAATTCTTCAAACCAGAGGCCAGAAATCCTTGGAGAAATGGCTGATTCTATGTATGGAAAATATAATACAGGAAAATGAGTTTAGAATTTCTTGTAATACTAGGAAACAGGGAAGTGTTAAGAAACAAAAGGATGAGTTGTATCATAAAGATACAGAGTGCAAAGAAAATGAGCTCACATCCTCTAAATTAAAGTCTGGTTATTTGAGCAATAAAATGAATAATGTAGCATGGATCTACACCAGAGTATGAAGTAAACACCCCTGAACCATTTCTGAAGTTAATAGATAATTAAATCAAGGAAAAATGGAAAGAAGGACATATTTCCCTTTTAGAATAATCCAAATGACTTAAGTTGGTAGTCCTCTTATCAAGTGAGTGAAGTTTAAATACTCATTAGTTAATTGTGGCATGAGATTAGAGACATGGAAAATATTTTCAGTGTTAGTGGATTTTATTCTGAGTTTTCAGACATAATGCAAAAACATGAATCAAGAAATAAAACTTTATGTGTTACTTTATCCAAATTTACACACACATGCACACACACAGACACGTAGGTAAATATAAATGTTTCAGCAGTACACACTGATGAGGGAGTGAAAAGACAACCACAGACTTGGAGAATACACTTGTAAATCACGTATTTGCTAAATGGCATTTTTAAAACTTGATAAATAATTTTTATCTGCAATTTTAAATTTTAGATGCAGAGGAGGCCACAGACCTGAAGAAAAGCAATCCTTGACCTCCATCTGCACCTGTCCCAGGGCTGCCCCTGTCTCATTTAGGTGCTGAGTTTCCCCCTTCAGCCCAGCCTCCTCACGTATCTGCAGGAAATTTTGTGTCTTGTCTCACACTGACTTCCCATCACTTGGTTTCTTATTATAGTGATACATGGCCATTTACTCTCATAGCAAGTTCTCAAAATTGTATCTGGATACAGTGAATCTACCCTTCAGAGAGTGTGCATAGTATATCTGATTTCCATTATACTTTATATCTACTACTCAGTTAAGCCCCTTTCCTGGAACCTGGTGGACTCAGCTCATTCAGTAGCTACTGAAGGTGAATCCAGAGGCTGAATAGGAGTCGCAAGAACTTCCCAGGCTATGACAGGTGGGACATATACACCATGAACTACTAAGTAGCCATAAACAGGAATGAGATCATGTCCTTTGCAGAGACATAGATGGAGCTGGAGACCATTATTCTCAGCAAACTAACACAGGAACAGAAAACCAAATACTACATGTTCTCACTTATAAGTGGGAGCTAAATGATGAGAACACATGGACACAGAGGGAAACAACACACACTGGGGCCTCTTGGAGGCTGGAGGGTGGGAGGACAAAGAGAATGAGGAAAAATAACTAAAAATTACTAATAAGCACTGGGATTAATATTGGGTGTATTAGTTTGTTTTCACACAGCTCATAAAGACATACCTGAGACTGAGAAATTTATACAGAATAAAAGGTTTAATAAAATCACAGTTCCACATGGCTGGGGAGGCCTCACAATCATGGCAGAGGTCTAGGATGAGCAAGTCATTTTTTACATGGATGGCAACAGGCAAAGAGAGAGCATGTGATAGGAAATGTCCCCTTATAAGACCGTCAGATTTCATGAGATTTATTTACCATGATGAGCACAGTAAGGGAAAGACCTGGTTAAATTACCTCCCACTGGGTCCCTCCCACAATGTGTGAGAATTCAAGATGAGATTTCGGTGGGGTCACAGCTAAACCATATCATTATGTCCCTGGCCCCTCCAAAATCTCAAGTCCTCATATTTCAGAAACAATCATGCCTTCCCAACAGTTCCCCGAAAGTTTTAACTCATTTCAGTGTTAACTCAAAAGTCCACAGTGCAAAGTCTCATCTGAAACATGACAAGTCTCTTCCTCCTATGAGCCTGTAAAAATTAAAAGCAAGTTAGTTACTTCCTAGATACGATGGGGTATAGGTATTGGGTAAATACAGCCATTCCACATGGGAGTAATTGGCCAAAACAAACGAACTACAGACCCCAATGCAAGTCCAAAATCCAGCAGGGCAGTCAAATCTTAAAGCTTCAAAATGATCTCTTTTGATTTCATGTCCCAAATTCAGGTCATGCTGAGGCTGAAAGGTGGGTTCCCATGGTCTTGAGCAGCTCTGGCCCTGTGGCTTTGCAGGTACAGCCTGCCTCACAGCTGCTTTTACACACTGGTGATGAGTATCTGCAGCTTTTCCAGGCACAGAATGCAAGTTGTTGGTGGATATATCATTCTGGGGTCTGTAGGATGGTGGCCCTCTTCTTGAAGCTCTACTAGGTCGTTCCCTAGTAGGGACTCTGTGGCAGGGTTCAAATCCCACATTTCCCTTCCACACTACCTTAGCAGAGGTTCTCCCTGAGGGCCCCACCCATGCAGCAAACTTCTGCTTGGGCATCCAGGCATTTCCATACATCCTCTGAAATCTAAGTGGAGGTTCCCAAACTGCAATCCCTGAATTCCATGCACCTGCAGGCTGAACATCATGTGGAAGCCGCCAATGCTTGGGGTTTGCAGTCTCTGAAAAAACAGCTCAAGCTGTACCTTGGCCCCATTTGGCCATTGCTGGAGTTGCTGGGATGCAGGGCTTCAAGTCCCAGGGCTGCTAAGGGTGGGGTTGCCCTTGGCTTGGTTCCCATAACAATTTTTTCTGCTAGGCCTTTAGGACTCTACTGGGATGGGCTGCTGTGAAGACCTCTGACATGCTCTGGAGACATTTTCCCCACTGTCTCGAAGATTAACATTTGTTTCCTGGTAACTCATGCAAATTTATGCAGTCAGCTTGAATTTCTCCACAGAAAACAGGATTTTCTTTTTTATCTCATTGTCAGGTTGTAAATTTTTCAAGTTTTTATGGTCTGCTTTCCTTATAAAACCGAATGCCTTTAACAGCACCCAAGTCACCTCAGGAATGCTTTGCTGCTTAGAAATTTCTTCCACCAGATACCCTAAATCATCTCTTTCAAGTTTAAATTTCCACAAATCTCTAGGGCAGCAGCAAAACGCTGCCAGTCTTTTTGATAATACATAAGAAGGGTCATCTTTCCTCCAGTTCCCAGTAAGTTCCTCATCCCCAACAGAGACCACCCCAGCCTGGACTTAATTGTTCATATCCCTATCAGCATTTTGGGCAAAGTCATTCACCAAGTCTTTCCAAACTTTACCACATTATTCTGTCTTCTTCTGAGCACTCCAAACTATTTCAACCCCTGTCTGTGACCCAGTCTCCAAGCCACTTCCACATTTTCAGGTACCTACAGCAGTGAGTCATCTACTGGTACCAATTACTGTATTAGTCTTTTCTCACTTTGCTAATAAAGACATATCTGAGACAGGGTAATTTATCCAATCAAAAGGTTTATTGGACTCACAGTTCCACATGGCTATGGAGGCCTTACATTCATGGCATAAGGGAAGTAGGACCAAGTCACATCTTTTACGGATAGTAGCAGGCAAAGAGAGAGCTTGTGCAGAGAAACTCCTTGTTACAAAACCAGCACATCTCATGAGACTTATTAACTATCATGAGAACAGCATGGGAAAGGACTGCCCCCTTGATTCAATTACCTCCATCAGGTTCCTCCCACTACATGTGGGAATTCAAGATGAGATTTGGGTGGAGACACAACCAAACCATTTCAATGGGTGATGAAATAATTGGTACAACAAACCTCAATGACACAATTTATCTATGTAACAAACTTGTACATCCGACACATATACCCCTGAACTTAAAAGAAAAGATAATTAATAAATAAATAATATGTTTGTATATGCATATATATTATATATTTATATATATATTTATATATTATGTACATGAGTTGCTTGAGGATGTGTGTGCTAATGGTGTGAGAATGTGAAACTCTGGGCACTTCAAGGCTTTTCCTA